TTAAAGGGGTCATATGATGCGATTTCAAGTTTTCCTTTCTCTTTGGAGTGTTACAAGCTGATTGTGCATAGATAAGATCCCTGAAGTTGCAAAGACTAAAGTCTCAAAACCAAAGAGATATTCTTTATCAAAGTTAAGACTCTGCCACGCCCCCCTAAAACGGCTCGTTCTAATACACCCCCACATATCTAGGTCACTATGTGGAAATATTTGCATACTGCCGCCCAAATGGGTACGCAAAGAAAGAAGGCGTGGTTTCAGTAACCGCAGTTAGTGTTGAAGCAGCCATGTCAGGGAGACGCTGTGTGTTTCTAGGCGAAAGCAAAAGTTCTTTATTTGGCCTTCCAGTATGGAACACATCAAAGTACCACCAGACACCAAAGTATCCTATACCATCACTGTACCGTGTACCGGCTTTCTTACTGAACTTAAACTCCAGCTCACTCTTCTGAAACTTCGCACAGTCTGCCCCACAGTCCTAGCAAAGGAGCAACAGTTGCATACAATAATAAATATAAAAACCAATGTAAAATAACGAAACTTTATAATATAATATACTATGTATGAAGACATTTTATGGTATATTATTATAACAATTTCAATTTGTAATAATTCCATCATGAATGGAATGTACAGTATGTACTCATTGCTTTCTTTCAGAAAACACAAAATCAGTACAAAAATAATCTTAAAGCTTATAGCACCTGTATCTATTAATAACATAATAAAAATGTGTATGAGCACATGTAATCTTATTAAACGTCTTTATGAGTACAGTTGTGGTTTATGCGTCAAAAGATACTCTACAGCAAATACCGATGTTGATAAACATAAATAAACTCATACCTTTGCCATCTTGATCATTTTCTTGGCGATTTCAATGTCTCCCTGATGATTCTGTCCGATTTCTGCAATAATGAAACACGGGTTGTTCCCTCCGATCATACGACCGGGACATAACTCAAATTTAAGAGGCATTTTAAATCCAAATGTACAAACACAGCTAGAAAATTTACACGCGTCAAACGCCGAGATGAAAGACCCCGTAGAACTTCCGGGTTTATTTACGCTCACGCCCATGCGTTTCAAAATAAAGTTCTCGTCAATAAAAGACTGAACTTTTCATTATTCATCATCTTTACGGGGTTCTTGTTAAACTCCTGAATTTTGCCACATGTGGTTCAGATGACTAACCACATCCAAATTGGTTTAAGAAGAATCATTAGAGAAGGACAAGGGTATAAAAAAAAGGAACAAATGGCTATTATTTGCATTTTAAATATATTTATATACATACATGTAAATGTGTGTGTATACACACACACATATATATATACACACACACTGAAAAAAAAATTATAAACGCAACACTTTTGTTTTTGCCCCCATTTTTCATGAGCTGAACTCAAAGATCTAAGACTTTTTCTATGTACACAAAAGGCCTATTTCTCTCAAATATTGTTCACAAATCTGTCTAAATCTGTGTTAGTGTGCACTTCTCCTTTGCCGAGATAATCCATCCATCTCACAGGTGTGGCATATCAAGATGCTGATTAGACAGCATGATTATTGCACAGGTGTGTCTTAGGCTGGCCACAATAAAAGGCCACTCTAAAATGTGCAGTTTTACTGTATTGGGGGGTCCGGGTGGGGGGGTCCGAAAACCAGTCAGCTGCACATTTTAGAGTGGCCTTTTATTGTGGCCAGCCTAAGGCACACCTGTGCAATAATCATGCTGTCTAATCAGCATCTTGATATGCCACACCTGTGAGGTGGATGGATTATCTCGGCAAAGGAGAAGTGCTCACTAACACAGATTTAGACCGATTTGTGAACAATATTTGAGAGAAATAGGCCTTTTGTGTACATAGAAAAAGTCTTAGATCTTTGAGCTCAGCTCATGAAAAATGGGGGCAAAAACAAAAGTGTTGCGTTTATAATTTAAAATACACAAAATATTCTGCAAATATCAATATTAAGATTTCAAGTTTATAAGTGTATTGCAGGACTCTAACATATTAAATCAATTCACTGGCAATAAAAGTACATTTTGTGTTTAATCATTTTTAATGTACATATCTGTGACATTAAATATTAGAGTAGACATACTGGACAAACATTTGTCCAGTTTATTGATTCATTCATACAGACTGGGTGAATCGATAAACCTAAGCATATGGTGCCGAAAACACAATAAAGGCTTGGCAACAGATCAGCGTAAGGTGCAAAGGACAACGTGGCTGTCTCCATGAAATATCCAAACAACAGAAAGCAAAACAGACAGAACTGGTGATTAAACCACAACAGTTTTTTATAGCGGCCTCTCTGCAACAAATACCCCTTAGTTTCAGTGTACAAATAATAAATAAAACCATCCTTCATATAATTAAACCATTCCTCAAAATTACACTCCTTACAATAGGCAATTGATCCCAAATAATATAGCACCTATATGTGTAAAGTAAAAACTAAACAAATAAAAGTTTTTAAGTTCAAGCTTAAAAGCCACTATGATCCTAACAAGGACATAGCACATGATTGGCCCTTGGTCTTTGAGTCTGTAAATGATTGGTTCCTGGTTTTCGAGCTCTTTCAGTAAGTGCGGCGGGTGGTGTAGTCCAGTACCATGCTGGCAGCACCCAGCAGCGCAGGATCCTCCAGCTCAGACACCATGACTTTGGTCCCCTGCGCCGAGAGGAGAGCTCGCTGACTGATCACCTGACGAACTGGATTCTCATAGTGCTCTGACAGGACACCAGACAGGATGACCAGAGACGGGTTGATCATGTGCAGGATGTTCACAATCCCCAACCCCAGGGCAGTTCCCGCTGTTAGGGAAGAGTAGAGAGACTATCAGTGCTTTTCTTCATCACAAACCTGCTTGAGAATAATGTATGTACTTGAATATGCGTCTTACCTGTGTGGAGTATGCTCTCAGCTTTGGAGTTGCCAAGGCGAGCAGCGTTGATGAGATGAATAGCGTTCACCTGTTCTTTGTTATTCACAGTCATTCCTTCAACCAACAGCAAGTCCTCTGTCATCAAACATGAAAGAAACACGTAATTACAATGTTTTACTTTAACTTGGTAACATTTGTTATGCACAACTCCTGTAACCAAACCTTAGGACGTTACTATTATTTGTGACCCTGGACCACAAAACCAGTCTTAAGTCGCTGGGGTATATTTGTAGCAACAGCCAAAAAAAAAACATTGTATGGGTCAAAAATTATCGATTTTTCTTTTATGCCAAAAATCATTAGGATATTAAGTAAAGATCATGTTCCATGAAGATATTTGACTGTAAATATATCAAAACTTATTTTTTTATTAGTGATATGCATTTCTAAGAACTTAATTTGGACAATTTTAAAGGCGATTTTCTCAGTATTTAGATTTTTTGCACTCTCAGATTCCAGATTTTCAAATAGTTGTATCTCGGCCAAATATTGTCCTATCCTAACAAACCATACATCAATGGAAAGCTTATTTATTCAACTTTCAGGTGATGTATAAATCTCAGTTTCAAAAAATTGACCCTTATGACTGGTTTTGTGGTCCACGGTCACATTTAATGATTCTGAATGAGACCGTAAAAATCAAATCCTAGTGTTTATTAATTTAAGAAAAGCTTCAAAACTATCATTATCTAACAATTACAGATATTAAATGTTATTAAATTATAGATATTAAATGCTGCTAACAAAACCGCTAACTATATTGAACCTGTTTAAGTTTTTTTATGACACTAACTACTGTATACAGTATAATTAAAAAATAATAATTAATAAACAGTATTTAAATATTTTTTTATTTTGATACAAAAAATAATAATAATGACAATGTCAGGTTAACAGCAGTAAATCAGTTTTAGTAATTTAGTCAAATTTAGTAATATTATGTAATATTAAAAACATATATTTCATATTACACATTCATATTTTTGTCTTTAAAGAATGAATAGATAAAAGCTGGTGGAATGAATGGAACAAGTTCAGACAAACACCAACAATAGTGAGGGTTCACGTCACTGTCAACTGTCCCGTTTTACAGAAATATAAACCAGTTTAATTGTTCCGTATCAACTGAAAAGGAAATACTTGCAAAACTGAAATGATTTGCGACAGACTGGGTGAGGCTGATAAGTGTGTTTTAGAGTAACTGTTGTGTGTCTCACCGTCATGGAGTCTCTTGGCTTCTCTCTGCAGGGCGAGACCTGATGAGTAGGCCTCTATGCAGCCGTGGCTGCCACACATGCACTCTGGTCCTTCCAATGAGACCACAATGTGTCCCAATTCTGCCGCACAAAATGTGCTGCCATGGATCAGTTCATTATGCTGGATTATACCACCTCCAATTCCTGCACATATAAACATAAGGCAAAGGTAATTACAGGCAGAATCACAGAAGTCAAACATAAGTAACAATTATATCAGTTTTAGTCTTTATGCAGGTACACGGCATTAGAAATCGGTTTGATCATGTATTTCTAATACTCATATACTGTACACACACCTGTATCAATTAAAGAGAAAACCATTATTTCACAATGTTTCCTAGTTCACTCTCAGAAAAAGACGTAATTAGTGTGCCATGTTTGTCCCCATGACTTACTATACTAGGATACAGTCAAAATATTTGCATGTAATGCAAAATAATGGTTTAGATGTCTTTTATAAAAGTTCATAACTGAAATGGAAAAAATCTAAGTGAACAAGCATAAAAGTAACTTAAAACTGTTCAAAAAGCTGAGGTAGATAAGACTTTTTAAAATGTTTTTGAAAGAAGTCTCTTCCCCAGGCTGCATTTATTTGATCAATAACAGAAAAAACAGTAATAGCGTAAAACACAATTTAATATATCTGTTTTCCATTATAATTTATTTACAAATATTATTCCTGTGATGGAAAAGCTGAATTTTCAGCATCATTACTCCAGTCTTCAATATCACATGATCCTTCATAAATTATTCTAATATGCTGATTTGATGCTCAAGAAATATTCCTTATTATCAATATTGAAAACTGTTGCATTGTTTAATATTTTGGTGGAAACGGTGATAAAAAAAAAAATTCAGGATTCTTTGATTAATAGAAAGTTTTTAAGCAGCATTTATTTGAAATATAACTATCACATGATCCTTCATAAATTATTCTAATATGCTGATTTGATGCTCAAGAAATATTCCTTATTATCAATATTGAAAACTGTTGCATTGTTTAATATTTTGGTGGAAACGGTGATAAAAAAAAAATTCAGGATTCTTTTATTAATAGAAAGTTTTTAAGCAGCATTTATTTGAAATATAACTTTTTTTGTAGCATTATAAGTGTATGTATTGTCACTTTTGATTAATCTAATGCATCCTTGCTCAATAAAAGTATGCATTTTTCAAAAATAAAATCTTGCTGACTCCAAACATTTGAATGGTGGAGTATATATATTAAAAAACATGAATATAGTATATAATTTATATAATATGTCATTTAAACAAAGAGTTACCTACAGCTGTTACCTTTTCAAATGGGGAAAAAAATCAGGCATAAATAGTACTATTTACCCTTCTATGAAAAGTCAAAAACGGTAAAAACAGTATCCAGTGTGACAACTTTATAGGGTTAGTTCCATCATCAGCCCGGAACTGCTTCCATGTACAACTGTTGGCACAAGCTACATTAAAGTGATTATTACGTTTTGAATATGGATATTTTTCTTACAAAAACGCATCGATTCGCTACCATCGCTACAGGAGGCCTTTGTTCACCCCCCGGAGCCGTGTGAGACACTTTTTTTATGGATGGGCGCTTTTTATTTAACTTATGTTGGGCTTATGCATGCAACACCCGCTGAGTGGCATTAAACAGCTTGAAAGATCAAAGACAATTTTTAATATAACTCCGACTGGATTCATCTGAAAGAAGAAAGTCATATACACTTAGGATGACTTGAGGGAGAGTAATTTATGGGCTAATTTTCATTTTTGGGTGAACTAACCCTTTAATTCCACTCTCTGCCAGGTCTTATTCTTTGCATTATCAAACAAAGGGAAAGCCCACCATCCTAGCAACTAGCAGTAAGGGACATAATAATAGGAACGGACCGGTTCCAGTGATAATGGTGACAAAGTTCTCTACGCCTTTCCCGTGGCCAAACTTCCTCTCAGCAAGGGCGGCGCAGTTGCCATCATTATCGACCCACACAGGGAGATGAAGGGCGCTAGAAATGGGTGTACGGATGTCCACCGAACTCCACTCATTTATTAGCTTGGTGGAGTGGAGGACTATCCCATCTTGTGGGTTCACACGCCCCCCTGTGCTCACACCTGAAAGAAATAAGACAGTGAATGAGTGAGTGAATTTACAGACACATAGAAAAAGACTCAGGACAAACGCAGACATACCGACACCCAGGATTCTGCAGTTGAGGTGAATGGCGTCAGCCATGGCCTGTTTGCACATGGTCAGAATCAGTTCTATCCTCTCCTCAAATGTCTTTGGATTCAACTGGGTATATTTCTTAACTACTTTACCCTGAAACACAAGCACATATTTACAAGATGAAATCTTCAATATATGTCGATATATTAATTTTTTTACGCCTAACTTCATGTCTAAGGAAATAAAAAAACAAACAAATATGAAGCAACAAAGGCAACCTGCTATTAAACCATCACAATGAAATTTTGCAGGAAAAAAAAAAAAATCACAATAAATTACATCACCTTTAATTTTTTACCCCAATTATGTTCCGCAAGATACACTACCATTCAAAACAATTGGGATCAGTCAAAAATTCTCTCTTTTTTTCTAAACAAATTAATAATTTCAGCAAGGTTGCTTTACATTGATCTAAAGTGACAGTAAAGACATTTATGGTACAAAAGATTTTGAATTTTATTATTCATCAAAGAATCCCCCCAAAAAATGTATCACAAAAATTATGCAGCACAACTAATAATAATAATATTGAGAAATGTTTCTTGATAAAAAATGTTTTACAAAAAATAATAAGAGATTATTTCTTGAGCATCAAATCAGCTTGTTAGAAGGATCATGTGACTGCTGAAAATTCAGCTTTGCATCACAGGAATAAATTACATTTTAAAACATGTTCGAAAATGATCTAAAATGGTTATTTTTAATTGTAATAATATTTCACAATATTACATCTTGTCTGTATTTTTGACCAGTAAATATAACCTTGCTGAGTACACTTTTATAGACCATATACTTTTGAACAATTTTATGCATGCAAATTAAAAAAAAAAAAAAAAACTGCTCAAATAATCTCTATTTGCTACCACAGATTGGCCTTTTTTTCCTTTTATATTGTTGATTTGATTATTTGTCTTAAACTGGTACCTCTTCATCACTCTGACTGGAAGTAAGGAGCTTGTGATAGTTATACACCTAAACCAATAAAACACCTGGTCAAACTGCGGCATTCCAGGACATATTTAAATATAGATGGAACTTACTTGATCATTTTAGACTGCTTGAGCACCAGTGTGATGTTCATGAAATAACAGGTCAATATATCAGCCAATACGATTACTTGGCTGATATTTAGCCCTTTTGAGATTGTAGTAATTTTGCAAAATACATAATATATTCAGCAATGCTTCACCATGGCCAAATACAGAAAAATAAACTAATTACATATTTAATGTTGAGTCTGTCAGTCTGCAGTCTAGGAAACTGCACCATTCACACATAAAGAAAGAGCTGATTACACAACCCTTCTGATCAAACCTGCCACTGTTTGTTTTACAGTCAGACTTGTGTGCATCAGATGAATGAAATATTTACATAAGTACTGCATATCCTGATGCATAAAAAACACATCACAATCTGGCAAACACACAGACATCCTGTAACCTAGAGCAGTGTTTCCCAACGTTTTTTCAGTCGTGGCACCCTTCACAATATTTCAATTTCTAACTTCGATATGATCATTTGAAAAGTATAGATATTCGGTACAACACGAGCACAACATAGCAGTTAGCAGATCAATGAATGAGAGGGCAGCGTTACCAGAGTTGCCCATTTACCACACCATGTTACAACACAGTAGGGCTATTGCAGACAGAAACAATACTGTACTACATCGATGTTTCCTGTAGGCTAAATTTTTGAGTGGACTTTGCTGTTCCGATTTGCATGAACGGTATACGAGTGGAGTGACTGAGCGGAGCGCACACGCATAGAGCGGGATAATACGCAGAGCGTCACACCACGTGAAAGTGAAACCTGGAGGTGAACTAATTTTCGGCAGCCGAAATTTCGGTGCATCTCTAATTATTGGCGACATCAGAAATGGATATTATATAATAGATGCTTTTTTAAACATTTTAGCAATTAAAAAATATTAAAAAAGGATTTTTTACACGGCTCTCGAACCTCCGTGAAGTTGGCCCCCACCCAACGCAAAATGTCAGCAAAATAGTCTCAATCGTTTGTGCTCCGTTTGTGCTGATTTGTGCTGTAAAAAATGTCGTTTGTGCTGCTTTGGTTTTTTAGGTATTAAAATAGTATTTATAGGTCATTCTGAGGTCACTCAGCCCCCCAACATACTCCAAATTCACCCCAAATAGTCTCGTTTGTTTGTGCTTTGTTTGTGCTGGTATGTACAGGTAAAAGTTTCGTTTGTGCTGCTTCGGTTTTTAAAATATTAGACATTGAATTATATGCGAGGACGTCACCAGCCCCCCCACATGCTCTAAATTCATGAAAAATGTTCTTGTTTGTTTGTGCTGGTTTGTGCCGTAAAAAATTAGTTTGTGCTGCTTCGGTTTTTTAGATATTAAAAGAATATTTAATAATCATTTTGAGGTCACTCAGCCCCCCCACATGCTCCAAATTTACCCAAATAGTCTCGTTTGTTTGTGCTTTGTTTGTGCTGGTATGTACAGGTAAAAGTTTCGTTTGTGCTGCTTCGGTTTTTTAGATATTAAAAGAATATTTAATGATCATTTTGAGGTCACTCAGCCCCCCCACATGCTCCAAATTTACCCAAATAGTCTCGTTTGTTTGTGCTGGTTTGTACCGGTATTTTTGTTTTTACTGTCTTTTTTAACAATACAGTTGAAGTAATAAGTAATAAATTCAAACGGCAAACCAAATCACATGAAATAGTTGCACTCACTTAATTGTTAGTAGCCATATTCATTCAATTAGACCAATTAAACGAAGAAAAAAAAACTAGGCCTATTTCATTTTGTCTTTACATAAAAAAAATAAAGACTTGATATACATAGGCCTATTTTCGTTTCTGCGCACAAATAAAACATGCAATAGCCTACTGTTTCCAGGTCCGTGTAGCCTATACTTTTGCATCCATTCGTTTTTCCTTTTTTAACCATGACGAAAAAAATGAAAAAAGAAGGATTGTTGTATTTTTAAATGCCATCCTGAAAACCAAATTTGAAATTAGAACCGTACACAAAATGCTGCCCGAAAAAGTAAAATATAGATTTTTTTAATGACTTTTTGCACTTTTAATAAACAACTGAAAAATGCACAAATTAATATAGAATTTTTTTTATTTTAACAGGTTTTCTTTGGCCAAATTAGAAGTAGGCTAATGCTTCTCTTGCACATTCAGTTTAGAACTATATGTCTCTGCGCTAGATCATTGATGGGGAGCTGGGCAATTAATAGTAAATATGACCAAAACAGGGTATTATTATTATTATTTGTATATGAATAATAAAATCGCTATATATGCGCATGTCAAGTATTTGTGGGAGTATTATAGTATTACTATATGATATGGAGGCGCCCGCGCAATCTCTCCATTTTTTTTTTCCTGCAGAAAGAACTTAGAATATGCTACTCCGTCATTTTTGGATTTGCTTTATACTGTGGAGATGGCCATCAGCGTTGACTAATCTGTTGACTAGGAAAAAATCTTTAAAAACGAAAAATATTACCAGCACAAATGAAGCATAAACAAACGAGACTATTTGGGGTAATTTTGAAGCATGTGGGGGGCTGAGTGACCTCAGAATGATCACTAAATAATATTTTAATATCTAAAAAAAACCAAAGCAGCACAAACGATTACGGCACAAACGAAGCACAAACGTTTGAGACTATTTTGGGTGAATTTGGAGCATGTGGGGGGGCTGGTGACGTCATCGCATATAATTCAATGTCTAATATTTTAAAAACCGAAGCAGCACAAACTAAACTTTTACCTGTACATACCAGCACAAACGAAGCACAAACAAACGAGACTATTTGGGGTCAATTTTGGAGCAGTGGGGGGCTGAGTGACCTCAGAAAATGAGCAATAAATATTATTTTAATATCTTAAAAACCGAAGCAGCACAAACTAATTTTTTTACGGCACAAACGAAGCACAAACAAACAAGAAATTTTTTCGTGAATTTGGAGCATGTGGGGGGGCTGAGTGACGTCATCGCCTATAATTTAATGTCTAATATTTTAAAAACCGAAGCAGCACAAACGAAAATATTACCTGCACAAACCAGCACAAACAAAGCACAAACAAACACTGACCTAGAGCATGTCCCTCATCTTCTAAAAGATGAATTGGATCTCAACACCTGACTCCAGAGGTTTGCTCTGCATACCTTCATACAGACAATGGCGACACGCAGGTTGGTCCCTCCCAGGTCAACAGCAAGTGCACTCTGTGTCTCCAGAATGTGGTCGATATCTTGAGAGATGCACTCCTTCACTGCTGGGAAACAGAACTTTTTCTGTAGTGGCTCAGAAAGGTTAATGGACTGCATGAACTTCAAGATGCGTTGGACCGCATTTCCGTCCCCGTCTGGCGAGTCCCCAGGTTAATGACAGGTGTTCCGAACGCCCCAGCCTCACGAACTCCACAACTGCTGTTGCCGATCATGCAGCCGGCATGTGCCACCAGCTGGATGAACTGATCGAACGGAACATGCTTCACCGCACGGAAGTTCGGATGCTGCTCAATTCCCTTCCGCCTCATCACACGAACCATCTCCTTACTGCCTACATGACACAAAACACAGAGCAGTATGGTTTTAATGGGGCAGAATTTTACTACACTTCCATTGCATTTATTCAGAGATTTAGATTCAGAGAAGAATTCCTAAGACTGTTTCAACCGGCAAAAGTTTTTTAACAATTAAATAAAATGTCTGGCTAATAAAGAGTCACAATTACATTTTTTACGAGTTTACATTCAATTCAGACTACAATTCTGATATATTATATTCAGTGTTATTGTTAACTAAAACTAAAGCTATTAAAAACCATGGGGGTGGAAATATCATGCTTTGGGGCTGTTTTTCTGCAAAGGGACCAGGACGACTGATCCGTGTAAACGAACGAATGAATGGGGCCATGTATCGTGAGATTTTGAGTGAAAACCTCCTTCCATCAGCAAGGGCATTGAAGATGAAATGTGGCTGGGTCTTTCAGCATGACAATGATCCCAAACACACCGCCCGGGCAACGAAGGAGTGGCTTCGTGAGAAGCATTTCAAGGTCCTGGAGTGGCCTAGCCAGTCTCCAGATCTCAACCCCATAGAAAATCTTTGGAGGGAGTTGAAAATCCGTGTTGCCCAGCGACAGCCCCAAAACATTACTGCTCTAGAGGAGATCTGCATGGAGGAATGGGCCAAAATACCAGCAACAGTGTGTGAAAACCTTGTGAAGACTTACAGAAAACGTTTGACCTCTGTCATTGCCAACAAAGGGTATATAACAAAGTATTGAGATGAAATTTTGTTATTGACCAAATACTTATTTTCCACCATAATTTGCAAATAAATTCTTTAAAAATCCTACAATGTGATTTTCTGGATTTTTTTTTCTCATTTTGTCTCTCATAGTTGAGGTATACCTATGATGAAAATTACAGGCCTCTCTCATCTTTTTAAGTGGGAGAACTTGCACAATTGGTGGCTGACTAAATACTTTTTTTCCCCACTGTATAAGCAATTTTATGGCAATGGTCAAAATATAATTCCTTTTTCTGGAACTTCAACAAAAATTTTTGTTAAAAAGCAGACATAATAAAATAACATATAATACATATGTTATATGTTATAAATGTAAAATAGAATAATATATTATAATAACTGAAGTCTGTATTTTAACTAAAATAAAAATGAAAATATAAAACAAAATCTAATACAAAATATGAATAATGATTAAATTGTGTCAGCATTTTTTGCCGATACCGATATTAGGGAGTAAAAAAAGACTGATACCGATATATCGGCCGATATTCTTTATGTGTAGGCTATATTATAGTACAGTATAGTCAAAAGTTTGGACACATTTCCCATTCGTGTGTCCAAACTTTTGACTGGTACTGTATATAGAATACAGTATATAGCCTACATAAACAGAATATATATACATAAACACATTTTTTGCAATAACTCAAATGTGGTGATCAAACACTTATAATGATGTGACAAACAAAGGCCTATGTACTGGAGGCAGGGTATTTAACAATTTAACAATAAACGTTATTATTCAAAATGAGTCTGACATCAGTGCACTTAACAGTAAACTTCACTTCACTTATTATAAATAACTTGAATAACACAAATAGAACAAAATATATATAACATGGATTAAGGTAACTGTGTAGGGCAAGCAAGCTACTGCCAAACCAACAGGGGCAGGGTTATGCAGGAAGCACAGCTTTTCCAAATGTAAACATCTAAAATGAATAAATAATAATAATGAATAATATTTTTTTCACAAACTCTGTGTTATGTATTTTCTGGTAATCCAATGAACATGCAGGACATTCGTATTTAAATCGTCTTTTTGCAGTTTAATATTCACAGACACAGTCTATATATATATGTACTGACCTGTTTTTTATTTATTCATAAAAAATAAGACAAATTCCATGAAATTCCGCGTTATACAATAAATTCCGTCTGCATCGCGGAAATCATAGGGCTCTACTAATGTAGCAAACGAATATGATAAGCTCATTGTGAGAGTAAAAGACAAGGGCATTGATGTTTATTTACTTAGCATTGAGTCTCTCCAAGTAGTACACCGGACGCGAGCGGCGCGACAAAATACAATAGAATTATATTGTATTTTGTCACGCCGCGCGATGTGATGTGACTGATGTGATAAGCATGAGTTCTGGGCCGTGGCATGGCCGGTAAACACCAGCATTGAGTGGCCGCGATCAGCTCTGTAACACAGGCTTTAATGCGCCACAGACGCTGCCGTAAAGCACAGATCAGCTCTAGTCTCTTACGTCACTGAATCTGCTGTTAAAATGAACCATCTATTCATCATATCATCATGCAAAACAAAGAACTAGAATCATTGTAATGTGATGATCAAATATAGGTGCGGGTGGCTGGCTGGCGGATAATTTGAAGCAGAGGACTCGGGTGAAGTTTGAGCTCATCCACGCATCTCTACACTACACTGACCTGGGTCCAGTAACAAACAATGGAGCGCGCTCTGCTGGACAAACTAAGTAATTACACAACTCAGAAGCATTTAATCTGCGTAATATGTTCTGTAAAATAAAAATTTTCATATCGGCAGCATATTCGCCGATACATCGGCCGATAATATCGGCTAAACGATATATCGGTCGGGCTCTAACTGTAACCACTACCGTAAAATGACTCAGACTGTAATATACATTTTTGGTCATGCCACCCACCCCCTCCTTGTGTTTCTGTAAACAGAATGGAGTTATGTTCCAATGAAAGACACAACAACTCTGCTTTGACTGCTGCCTCCTATAGTGTCTACCTGTCATTAACACCAAACTCAAAACAAACCATGACTGTTTTGTCTGTTAGAGTTGTTAAGAGTCCTTGGAAATTATCTTATACTGCTGATAAATCTGAGAAAAAAGAAAAACATGAAAGGTCAGACAGAAAGAAAATAAGAGCTGACCTGCATCAATATTCGGGAAGAGAATAAGAGTTCTCTTGTTGAAGGAGATGACAGCGTCCAGCATTAACTCATAGATCTTAATGGAATTCTGGATGTCTGTGGTAACAGGATGCTGCAGAGCTACAATATAGTTCTGTTCTTTCACATCATCCCCTGTTTTAGAAAAATAAATCACATATACATAAAGGATAGCATTAGTAGTTTTTAACAAACTTAAAATGAGTTATTTTGCACTGTTTTGATAGCATAGTCTTCATTGTTTATCTCTAGCAACTGCTATCTCATCCCATTCATCTATAGTACATACCAATCCAAGACTTGATGATATCAGTATAATCATCTCGTTGGTGGGCGGAAAGCAGCTTGTCGTAAGACGGGCAGCCAGCCAATAAAATGTGAGAATGGTCTTCGCACATAGAGATGAGGTGTCTCTCAGCCGAGCGCGTGCAGACGGCATGGTAGTGTGCCAGTTTGGAGATGGAGTGACGAATGGAATCATCAATGGTTCCGCTCACTTCTCCACCTTCCAGGTGCAAAATGCGAATGTTCATTAGAGCCGCTGCTGTCGCCAAGGCCAGCGCGTCGAAACGGTCGCCATGAACGAGCAGAATGTCAGGAGCGAGACGCTGGAGGACGTCGGGAAGCTTCACAAGCGCGAGACCCACAGACTCCACCATAGCAGCTTCATCCTCACCACGAACAATGGTGTGCAACTTAGAGCGAATATCAAACTCATCCTGCTCAATCATACGGAACGTGTTTCTGGGAAAGAGAGAAAGAAAGTAATCATACATTGATTTATTTGTGGTATCCAGCCACAATATCAACATTGACCGCCACAAATAGATTTTCCAAAATGCTTTGAATTCGTTGAATAAACATGAGCACTGCACGTTTCAAAATCAAAACGCGGCGTGGGTGTTTTTATATGAATGTATCTTTGAAGGGCACCTTTCTAGGTCTTTAGAAAAGTTTCGATGTCATTTTCAATGAATCTTTCTTATAATGCCCGATAAAGTAGCGTTTATGAGCGGAGCACTGTTTTGATTACAGCTGTTACCGGGGAAACCGCTATTTCGCTCCTAAAGCGCCTCCTGCTGGCAGAGAATGAATGTGCATTTTCAATCAGTGCATCTGCTGTTTTATATATTGCCTATATTTCCCCTGGGGGAAGTGCCCCACAGATTGTAAGTCTGTGGGAAACACTGAATCATTAAATATGACTTAGGGCTGCAGCTAATGATTATCTGGATAATTAATCTGATGATTATTTCAAAAAAATTATTTTTAAGAAATAAAAATGATTTTACTTAATATATTAATTTTAATCCATCTTTAACAAAATTGTTATTCCCCATCCTGTCCAACGCTGTCCTCTAAATTGTTATTCCCCATCCTGTCCAACGCTGTCCTCCAAACAATGCAATTTGTGCAATATGAAGGCAATCAAAACAAATATAATTAATGTATAATCTAATATTATTTAAATATAGTTTACTTTTTTTTTTTACAATTTGATTCGGTTACGATTCACTGGGCTGCAATGCGATGATAAAATCTTTTTTCTTACTGTGTGACTACTTGGTACTTTCAAAGCAAGTATTTGTAATGATAAATAATGAATTTACTTCCAATAACTTAAAACTTCCAATAATTTAAATAAAGCAGAAAACTGCTGTCTCCATTGCGCGTATGCAGGAAAAAACTAAGCTCACACATTCCAAAATCACTGGAGAGAGAATCAATTGTTTTCTCTATGTAGGCTAAATGCAGTTAAACATTACTGTATGTGCAAAAAGTGGGGTTAAAATTTAAACGTATATGTAGCATATATACAGCATATGTAAAATCACTAAATTAAAATTGATGATAAAAGAAAATATACAATTATTCATGTTACATGTAGAATTTTAAACGTACATTTAATGTCAAACAAGAAATATTTTAGTAGTGACAATTATTGCATTTCTATTCTATTTACGCACTGTCCGTTTGACGCACATACTCGTGCTGACACTCGTGTACTGAAGTCTGTGAAGTTTAACGGAAACTCGCTTGCTGACAGGACGAGCCTTTATGCAAAATTGAAATACTCATGGGACTTTCGAAATTTTACAGACAAGGATACATTTGTACATTTTCAGTTTTGCTCAATAATATTGATTGAAGCACTTATATGACACATTCTCATGTTTAGGACAACTTAGGTCACGCACTTTACCCGCTGCAGCTCACTCTGCGTCCATCGCTGTTTTCCAGATTAATCAATTACTAAATTTGTTGAGAATTATTTTTAGTAATGATTATTATTGATTTTCACGATTCGTTGGTGCAGCCCTAATATGCACCAAAGAGCAATAGCTTCTAAAAGCTGTTAGAAAGATCCATCACAATTCAGTATGCAAATAAATTCAAGAAAGAATATCAACTAGGATTTAGCATGCAAATATTATAATGGCATCTTCGCTGTATGTTACGATTAGAATGGCAAGTATTTTACGTCAATTTTCAAATTTTGATTTTATATTTATTTAGCATCAAATACTGAAATGATGTAGAAAGCAAAGCCTGAATGGTAAGAGACTGGTAAGAGACTTCTAGCCACCATCAGCAGCCCACTGTGAGAGTCAAACTCCCACCATCAAGAGCTGCATTCCAACATTTCCATGGCAACAGTGAGACATTTTGCGGATTCATTTTCTGAAGCTCTCAAGCCCAGATGAAGATCTATGGCAGTGTTTCCCAACCTTTCTTTAGTTGCGTCACCCTTTGGAAATTTTAACAAATTTGTGGCACCCTACAAAATAAATTGTCGCAATATTTCAATTTCTAACTTCGATATGATACTTTGAAAAGTATAGATATTCGGTACAGCAGGGAAGAACTGCAGAATATACTGTCATACAGATTTTTTTAATATAAAAAAAATTTGTCCATCAATGGTGGCAATCAGTGGGAAACACTGATCTATGGCTTATCTTGTTCTTTGCATCACTGCTATGAGACATTATCACCTAAGTTACAGTCAATGTCATCATTTCAAACCTGTAGGGCTTTCTTTCATCCATGAAACACACACAAAAAGATTTTGAAGAACCTCTCAACTGTTTTTGTCTGTACAATGAAAACCAGTGGGGACCGAAACAATTTTGGACTACACCGACTTTCAATGCACACCGACTTTTGCCTTCCAAAGGAGGAACAAAAGCATTTCAGGTTTGGAATGACAAAACTAATTTATTTAGAGTTATGTTTGTCAGTTGCTCTGATATGCAATATCCCTTCAACAATTTAATATAGATCAATTAAACAACTTAAAAAATTATGAACAGCATAATCGAGCAGTCTTACCCGTAATCGTCAATGAGATGTGACCCCAGCACCACCACCTCCAGGTCAAAGATTTCAGGGTGAGACTTGATGCCGAACATGATGGGTGCGAGTTTAGAGTAGTCCGCTCTGTTACAGGTGGCCACGCACACGCGTAATCGTTGCTTCAACCTCTTCTCCGATCGCTCCATCTTCTCCTGTGCTTGCTGGGTCCTCAGATAGTAAAGCTCCTAAATGAGGAACATGATTACAAATCTATACAGTATTCTGGAAATTATAGAAGAATAAAAATGCTAATTCAGTCACAGCTAAATGCATGACATGTAGCTGAGAGCCTTATTGCTTTTGCAAAGTGATTACTACATAAGCAAATAATTAAAAGCAAATTCATTAAGTGCCATCCTTCCACTAGGTGACATAGTCCCTGACATGTAAACTAAAGTTAAATAGTGCAACTTGAACCCTGTATTGACAAATCAGCATCCCAGATTGGAACTTGATCTGTTGGTAAAATTTATATATTATTATTATTTTTTTTTTTTAAAGAAGTTAATACTTTTATTCAGCAAAGATGCAATAAATTGATCAAAATTTACAGTAAAGACATTTATAATGTTAAAAAGGTTTCTATTTCAAAACAATGCTGTTCTTCTGACCTTTCTATTCAAAAAATCCTGCCAAAAAAAATCTATCACATTTCGCAAAATTATATTGAGCAACACAACTGTAATAAGAAACGTTTCTTGAGCACCAAATCAACATATTAGAATGGATTCTGGAGGATCATGTGACACTGAAGAGTGGAGTAATGGCTGCAAAAAAAATCAGCTTTAAATATATTAGAATAGAAAAATAATACAGAACAATATTACAGCTTTTACTGTATTTCTGATCAAATAAATGCAGCCTTGGTGAGCATAAGAGAAAATGTCAAAATATTACTAATTCCAAACTTTTGAACAAGTGTATTTTTAAATAAAAGAGAAAACAGAATGAAAATAGAATTATAGTAAATCAGAGCAAGACTTTCATGCCAGGGGTTGCCAAATTTGAGAGGGATCATACTTACATGCGTATTCCTGACCTGAACACTCTGAGGCATGAAAACAGAATAAAGAAAGAAATGAGGTATATATTGCTATGTCACTTCATAGTGGAATATAAAACTATGAATCCATTACGAAAGCCACCTGCCTGACTACACAATCCTTTACTGCCCTTCAGCACACACTGCTAAACGCTCTTTCAATGCCAGAGGACACCTTCAAACGTTTGTACCTTGTATTTGGACACTGACCATTTTAAAGACTTTAAATCTGTTTTACAAGCATAAAGTAAACAAAACAACTGGAAAGTAGCAGAAGCAAAGTACATGGAATGGGCTATGCTTACAAGTGCCAAAGTCCCACTGCATTATAGGGAAATAACCAAACAAGCTAAAGTCAAACTATATTTAACCCTCTAAATCCTGACACATGAAATAATAGTCCGAAAAAAAATCTAATTGGAAAATTGAACTGTTTATTGAGCCTTTAGACAAAATATAAAATAAAAGTGTAAAAAAAAATAAAAAAAAGTTACATGCAGAAGGCTAAAACTGAGCAAAAGTATGCAGTTTGGTTTAGTTGCTGATATTTATATGGCCAAAACAGAAGATGAAATTCTGATAATGTACATCAATGAGATTGTTATAACAGTACAGCAGATTACTCGCACAAACTTTGTAATAAGTGTAGCGTCTGGACCAATCAGACACACCATTTTTCATTTGATTTAACAAATCAATTATTCATTAGATTAACAAACGTTGACAGACCCCTCACCCAATTAACATACTGGGTGCCAAGTTGTCTGTGAACAAGGCCCAGACCCTGGTTACCATAGCAACCCTGACACCAGATACATTTACGACCTAATGGCATGTTGAGAATTACCCCTCTCACTACACTTTCCATAGAAGAGACACAATGCACAGTAAAAATGGACTCTTCTCTAATTAATTCATAGGAAAACCTTTCTTTGAATGAACACACATATCCTTCAGGTCATTGTGTATGTTGTCTTTGAGATTTGATACTGTTTTATGTGGGCTTATGATGGAACCATTCATTCCTGTCATCATACCTATATGTAATCCTACCATGTTTAGTATCTATGAATTCGCCTTCTGATGATCTAAACGAGCGTGTATATTATATGTTGGTACATAGGCAATATATTAGTGTCCTGAGAATCTTTAGTAATTTCGATTCAAGTTCCATTTGCAAATTACCATGCCCTCACACAAAGGGTCGAAAAACCCTCCAGCAATTGCCAACTCCCGCTTGGAATTTCTGCCTAAGAAAGTTATTTCCCTTAACCAGGAAATTAACGTTCTTAGAATTGACAGACAGTTGACCCTGAGAGGTCAAGTAAATATCTACAGCGGATCTAAATATGTAAAATTAATTATAACTAGTTGTGATTAATTATTCATATTTCCCCATGAGCTGATTCGCTACATAAGTTGATCATTTCATGATCAAAGCTCTGTAGTTTTTATTATGGTGGCAAAACATATAATGCACTACAACATTTCTCAAAAGCCTGCTGTATCATATTTTATGATACTTACATTTTAACATTATTTTTCAAAAAATGATAAAAATGTATAATTAAGTAAACCTAAGTTGCTTCAGTCCAGTAAGTATTCATCTTGAAATATTACTTACAATATAAACATAATTTTTATGTAAAGATTTCACATAGTAAAGATATTTAGTGAAGACAAAAAAAAACATATTGTGTCATCCAGCAGGAATATAATTGTAGTGATTCAGCACAACATCAACAGAAGATATTATTATTAGAAGAGATACAGCTAGAGCCTTTCAACCATTCATACTCAAAACTATTTCAAACACAGAGGAATGCCACAAGGGTGTGTCTTGGGGCCAATGCAAATAAGTTTGAGTTTGTGGTTTGAGTCGTCTTCTGTCACAAAGCCAAAGATGACAAGACAATCGGGTCATGTCAAATGTCAGAACTGAATGCCATGACAAACCAGTTGCACCAGATATCCAAGAGATTTTATATTCTTAGATATGTACAAATGCAATATTTGTGTTCATGTTGGCTTCGTATGTTTTTGAAAAACATGTATATATTTTTCGATAAAAAAAAAAATAAAAAAATTAAGACAAGTATTCTATTCAGCAAAAAATGCAGGCCTGAATACACAAATATACCTGAATCAATATATTTTTTGAATGTACAACATTTTCCATGTCTTTTTCCATGTTGCCTTTAGTCCCTTATACTCACCAAGGCTGCATTTCATGATAAAAAAACAGCAATATTATGAAATGTTATTACAAAATAATTTAACTGTTTTCTATTTGAATATGTTTTGTAAATGTAATTGTAAATGTGATGGCAAAGCAGAATTTTCAGCAGCCATTACTTCATTTTGAGCCGATATTTCTTATTATTAATGCTGAAAACAGTTGTGCTGCTAATATGTTTTGTGGAAGCCGTGATATATTTTTTCAGGATTCGTTGATGAATAGAAATTTAAAAAGAACAGCATTTAGTTGAAACAAAAATCTTTTGTAACAGTTGTAAATGTGTCTATTGTCACCTATGTTCATGGCCTTGCGGAATAAACAGGCTACAAACTTTAAAGGGTAGTGTAAATGTGCTGTAATCTAAACCTGACCAGTGGTGGACAGTAACGAAGTAGTTTTACTTCGTTACTGTACTTGAGTACATTTTTCAAGTATCTGTACTTTATTAAAGTCCAAATATTTTTATTCAACCACCTAGATAGATTACATCAGATGGAAAAAGAAAGAATGTGATGTTCAGAACATGGTAACTACAGTAATTATCAAAGTGGGAAGTGATGCCCTCTGGGGGCATTTGGCCAGGGGTGTTTTTACACCACAGACCAGGTTTGAGAAGAAAAAAATCATTATGAAAATATAATTATATTTTCCTTATTATATTCATTATTTCCTTATTGGTTATTTTGGGAAAATCCCAAGTATTTTGAGCAGTAGGATTATAAAAAATATATGCTCATATAAAATTAAATGATAAAAGTAGCCTATATAAAACTGCAAAATAAACATTCATCTATCAGTACTTTTTACTTAAGTACATAAAAAATCAAGTACTTTTGAACTTTCACTCGAGTAAAATCGAAAACTGAGTACTTTTACTGGAGTAATATTTTATTATACGGATCTGTACTTTTACTCAAGTACTTGATTTGTGTACTTCGTCCACCACTGAACCTGACATTATTTAAACATGCATGTGAGATCTTTTACTCAAGACTACTCACAGATTCACTCACACGTGATTTTACTCTCATGATTTGACCTGAACAAGGTCTCAGACAGAACAGTGTTTGTGCTCTTTTAGCAAGAGCTGTTTACAGAACATCTTCAAGGCCAACTCCTACGCTTCCACCAAAAATGAGGTTACAACGGCATATGGCATAGTTTAAGGCAGTGCTAGGCCTTCTGGGAAATCTTCATCACTCTCACAGTTGTCCTACCATGTACTAGAGGGATGCACTAGAGGGCACTGCCCATCTGTCCCACCAGCCTCTGTGTTTCTGTCCACATAAAAATTAAAACCAGAAGTCATGTTGCTAATACCATTCTGAAGTGTCCACATCAACATACTGAGAAATCCACCATGTTTTCAACTCACACATTCATCATCCCAGCTAAAAGGCATCACAAGACTCTAGCTGCACCCTAAACATTACAAACGGGGGATAGAAGGAGGCAGAAGGTATGAGGAAAAGCGAATGACAAAATAGCATCCGACTCACGTGTGGGTTTCTAGCATGTCCTGGCATCATGGTGTGTGATTTCTGAATCAAACGGAGCCCCTTTCTAGCTGCTCTCCCTCTATTCGGCGTCTCTTGACAGCCATTAAAGCAAAAGGGAGGAGGACAGCAGCCTCCTGCATGCTTCACACAAAGCAGCTCTGGCCCAGGGGGCGGGGTCAGAACAGCTCTTGCGCACTGATTGGCTGTCTAGGAGAGAGGCGAGCCGGTTGTGTCTCCGCCACCTGCATCCTCTCCACACCAGGAAGGAGTTTAAAGTTTTAAGTGTTTTAAGGTAGGAGAGGGGCAAACCTACATACACACAACAGTTGGCAAGCATTTGTGTACAAAGAAACATCCTTCTTTGCAATAATCAACATCTTTCTTCCTTTTAGCAGATGAATCAGAATCATGTGTACATCCTTTGTACATTCTATCACATTACTATAATTGCACAACACACTTTCAACATTAAATACCTTCACAATCCTGATATAGCACATTCTGTAGCTAAATTATACCTTGAAACTTATTTTCCCAGGCATTTTAAGCTTGATTTTTTTTTCTAACAAGCCAAAAACACATTAGTTGTCAGCTTTTTATATAAAATATTTTAATCAAATAATTGAAATACATTTTCCATAATTTCCTTAATAAATCAGAATGATTATCTATATTAAAATATACAGTATCAGTCATTACAAATAAAAAGTGGTATTTTTGACTCAAGACAGGTCTAAAATATATGAATTAATGTTTGTTAATTATAATAAGTACAGAAATAAATATATATGTACAATTTTAACGCATTTACTGTATGTTTTTGTATTACTATAATAAACCTAATATTCTAACTTGCTGACAAAACTATGCTTGACAACAATTTATATTTTCAAAGTATAGCCAGTTTATTTTATCATGAATGATTCTTTTCATTTAATTACTTCACAATGAAACAATTCACCATCAACCAAATATCAATAAATGGTGATATTTTTGCCCTTGAAGCATTTTTTCAGAAGCATTTTTTTTTAAGTAACTGAAATAAATTTTCCACCAAAAAAACAAACAAACGGAATGATTAACTAGATTAAATTATACAGTATCAAACATTTTTAAAAAATTAGGAATTTTTAAAGTATATTTTCAGTGATATTTCTGACCCAAGACAGGTCTGAAAATATTAATTAGTATTTTTTTTTTTATTATAATATTACAGTAATCATGTTAATAATTATGTAAAATATATTAATATGTGGGTCAAAGACGAAAAAGGGTAAAAAGCATAAAAACAATAAGTGTAATACTGATTTAAATTGTTGTTTTCCCTCAAAAAATGTAAAAAGTTTTCCGTTTAATTTAATTGCAATTTTGTTTTTGTTCTTCTGAGCAAAAAATAAACATCATACATTTTTCCCTGATTTACAGAAGACACCCACTAAAATGTCATTTGGTGTAACATTCTTGTCAGGCATATTTACTAGGGCTGCAACAACGAATCGATTAAATCGATAAACATCGATTACTAAAAGAGTTGGCAACGACGTCAGGCATATTTACAACTAAAATCTATTTATGACATATTAAAAGACTAATTACTTTCACCCCAAATACTACCTAGTTGTAATTTTACATTTGCCACTACCCTAGGTTTTTTTTATCCATTTGTCAGTAAGAAGTTTTACTCATTTAAAACACAATAAAATTTTATATGCTCCCTTATTCTTTTATATATTTTAACATGTACAAGTCAGAATAAGCATGTTGTTTGAATTTTTACATAAACATTGTGTTACACTGAATGACAATGTAACATTATTTCAACCAAATTTTAACATTTTATTCTCCAAAAACTTATTTGAAACCTTATAAGTAGACACTTTACTTACATTTAATGTGCTTTCTATGGACATATAATCACTTTTGTACATTTCTTTTGATGCGGACATCTTAACGTCTTTGACCCATGTGCATATAATGAATGTTTTTGTATTTACATAAAACTAATTTATTAATATAATATTCTGACTAGCTGACAAATGCAAGTCATGCCTATGCTTTTGCAACATCAACCATACAAAGAAATCTGTTATCTGTCATTGTGCTCTAAAAAAGAGCCACGTATTCTTAACCTGTGACCTCCATGCTCAGAGTGACGGAGCAGGTACAGCAACAGGTGTGTTGTGTGCTGAGCATTAAACTTAGGTGTGGTGGGCAAGGATCTGTGTCTGTTTGTATTTCAACTGTTACATCCTAAAGCAGAATCTAAGTGTCACAATCACAGTGATATATCTTACATGATCTGCACAGGGAAGTTAATGATAATGCAACAGCTGCAAGAAATCATCGCTTATAAGACATTTGTAAAGCCGCTGCACCAGATCTTCTCAAGACCGTCTTATTTTTTTCTTCTTTTTATAGTGTAGACTAAATATTTCTCTGAATATCTATGCCATATCAGTGGCAGTGGTCCTTTATTTAGATCTACAAGTAACAGCACATTAATGTTTCCTAACAGTGTGAGTTTTGAACAATGCATACCCATGAAAAGGGCAAGCAAGGAAGAATTGCACATAAAGACACACTTACAACACGCTGATCAGAACAAGAGCTTCAACCAGAGGTGAGAGATGAGCCAAAACATACAGACAGAGCTACTGCATGCAGTCTATTCCTGAAGCTGTATCACTGATACTACGATAATTCACAATAACACAGACAAGCATCTCAAACTGAGGCACATCCTTCTCAGAAGACACTTGGCCCATCATAACAAAGTAAAATACTGCCATCTACTGGCAGAATCAGAGACAAGCACATGACCAAAGCCACCTGATCACAGCTCTGTCCAACAGCACTGAATGAATGAGTGACCATGTGCAATATAATACCGGTTTCCTACCAGGAAGCATTTATAGCTTTTAACCAACCAGCAGGGGATTTACAATCTCTAACCAAACAAGAAATCTGTCCAAAAGATTATCATAAACTCAGGTCTTACCTGCATTTATTCAAGGCTGAGAGATGAGCTCAAAGAGACTCTGCCTACACAGTTTAAACATTATGGCCTGGTTTCACAAACTGGGCTTAGACTAAGCCAGGATCAGGCCATTGTTCAATTAGGACATTTAAGTAATTTGTATACACATGCCTTAGAAAAAAACATTACTGTTATTCATCTTGAGACAAAACAAGGGCACTGACAAATTTTAAGACCAATCAGTGCAAGTTTCTTTCAGTTGAAACTGCTCAGACTTACGTTTTAGTCTGGGACTAGGCTTTTTCAGCATAACGTATTTTAAATATAACAAGCTGTCGGCGCCGATAGCAGTTGCGCTTCGAGTGTCCCGAGATCGAATCCCGCCTTGTGGACCTTTCCCGTTCCAACCCCCCATCTCTCTCTCCCACTCACTTCCTGTCATATCTATACTGTCCTGTCATAGAAAAATGCCAAAAAATATGTAACTTATCTAAAAATATCAAATAAAACAATATTTTTCATGCTTGTTAAATGAACCATGAACAATTATTGCACATGCACCTGTGAAACAGTCCTTAAGACACTTACGGTTTAAAGACGGCAGACAATTAAGGTCCCAGTTATAATAACTTATAAAAGAAAGAGACTTTTCTACTGACTCTGGAAAAACAAGGTGAGTAGGATTCCTGATCACCTGTGTGAACATGAGGACTGCAGACGTGGCCAGAGCAATAAACTGCTATGTCTGTAATATAAGACGCCTAAGACACCGTCCTTGCAGTGGCAAAACACGTGTAACCATGTGTTCCCCCAGACGTGTTTAAGAACTTGCACAAGTGCCTTGGTGGAAGAGCGAAATAACAGCTCACAGCAAAAACTGGCAAATCTGGTGCAGTACATGAGGATGAGATGTAGTACTTAAACAGCTGGAGAGCACACAAGATATTCACTGCAACTTTTGAAATTGAACCTCGTTTTGTTCAAGGACTCGTTATAAGTGTTGGGGGTAACTCATTACAAGTAATGCGATTTACGTAATCAGATGACTTTTTTCAAGTAACTAGTAGTTTTTTTTATTGCTGAAGAGTGTTGAACCTTCTTCTCCTGCGTTCTACTGTACAGACGTGAATTTACTTTTGCTTCAGCCTGAGGTTTATTCATTACACTTTTTGGTGTGAAAGGGCTTTATAAATAGAACTTCTTATATTAAAAACAATCAAGCCCTGCTTATATTTAAAAAGTAACGCGAAAGTAACGCAAAAGTAATATAACGCATTACTTTCCATTAAAAGTAACGTAATTAGTTACTTTTGTAGGGAGTAACGCAATATTGTAATGCATTACTTTTAAAAGTAACTTTCCCCAACACTGCTCGTTATTCCGTTTCTGTTCGTCAAATGCCTGTTTTCAGTTTGTCTCAGTTTTAACTTTATATTTTAAAATAAAAGCATTATTTCTCTCTCTCACACTCACACTCACACACACATATATATAAAAAAAAAAATAGATCTCGCTCACACACACACACACACACACACACACACACACACACACACACACACACACACACACACACACACACACACACGTGTTATGTATATATCATCGTTGAATAAAATACTACATTCACAATAGTATAGGGGGGGAAAACACTGATACAAAGTCTAAATATTTCTATCATCCTTAAATACTGAGTACACATGAAAGTCAGCTGTGGAATAAAGTTATTAATAAACGACAAATGGCGAGTTAGTATTAAAGGTAACGTGGCGAAAAGTTTCGTGTGTGATGTTTACCCACTCAGCTGCTGGCCCAAGAAATGCTAGCAAGCTATGTTAGCACATTACTTACGTTTGACACGATTATCTGTAGTACACTCCCTTGCGTGATAACAGGGGTTATAGAATCGAATACACCGAATGCTGATATACTTAGTAAATCAACAGAGGCAGATTAATCGGGTGTCAATGCTAACCGACCATAGCACTGGTGAAGATTCTTTCTCTGTTTCTATTGGAGGAGAAGACGCGTCACAGCTCACTGCTGCCACCTATT